TAGAGTGATTTGAAGCACAATTAGTTTAATTAAGTGATTGTGTTTTGTTGTAGCGCAAATTAGTTTAGGACTTTGCTACGGTGACATGCATGTCACGGTGACATGCACTTTCCGGTCGACCTCATATAGGATCAGGTCGACCTAATCAGTTGTTTCAGTGTACAAACAGTTTCATGGTGCCTATATTGGAGATTCATATCTTACAATTGGCTAGATGGAAATTGGAGATTAAAGGCTTGTTTTGAAGCTGAAGTGTCCCTCTACACATTAAAGTACTTGGGAGCTCAATAGAAAATCTAGAAGACCATTTTTGAACCTGACCAAAAGGCTATGCCAAAACTGGGAAACTGCCTGAAAATGGCTAAGTCTGGCAACGTGTTTGTCAAGCCTACTTTGGAGCTCAATTTGACAAGCATGGATGCGAGTCAAGTCCAGGGGCCTTTACCACGTTAAATTACGTATTTTTTTATACAAAGGCAAGGCATTGAATGAAAGATTGAATATCTTTAAGGCTTCAAACAAAAGGCTCGAAGTTGCTACGAAGGCTATTTTTCTGGCAGCTTGCTTGTGCTCGAAGTCTGCCAGAAAAACAGCCTTCGTAGCAACTTCGACCCTTTTGTTTGAAGCCTTAAAGATATCCAATCTTTCATCCAATTCCTTGAATTTGTATAAAAACATACCTAATTTAACGTGGTAGAGGCTCCTGGACTCGACTCGCATTCATGCTTCTCGAATTGAGCTAAAAAATAGGCTTCACAAACACGTTTCCGGACTTAGCCATTTCTAGGCAGTTTCCCAGTTTTGGCATAGCCTTTTGATGAGGTTCAAAAATGGTCTTCTGGACTTCCTATCGAGCTCTCAATCACTTCAATATGTAGAGGGACACTCCAGCTTCAAAACAAGTCCTTAGTATTCAATTTCCATCTAGCCAATTGTATGATATGAATATCCAAAGTAGGCACCATGAACTGTTTTTACACTGAAACAACATATTAGGTCGACCGGATCCTATATGAGGTCGACCGAATCCTAAATGAGGTCGACCGGATCCTATATGAGGTCGACCGAATTCTATGTGAGGTCGACCTAATCCTAACTGAGGTCGACCGGAAAGTGCAAGTCACCGTGACATGCATGTCACCGTAGGCACACCCATTAGTTTATTGTGTTTAGATTTAATTCGTAGAGCTAATTTGGTTTAATAATTTATATTTAAATTATCATTATTTTTTAGATTTAATTAAATTATTGCATTTAGTTTAATTTTGTAGAATCATATAATTTGTACATTTCTAACGAGTTGTAAAATCATAATTGCAGGTGGACATGGCTGACAATGTTGAACTAATTGGTGATTACACAGACCATTTTCTCAATCATGTCCGATATGCCAATTTTGAAGATGCTGTAACAGTGACAAAAAACATCGCGAAGTCTCTTGGTTTCTTTCTAACTAAGGGATCGATGAAGCCACGTGAGTTTAGCAACAAAAGAGTATTGGGTATCTGTTACATGTATTGCGACAGATGCAGTAGGGAGAGGAAGTCATACAAGCCGGATCCTTCCAAGGAGAGTCGTGGCAATACAAGTTCAAAAGGAGCGGGATGCATGTTCAAGATTAAAATCAAAGAACTACTGGTTAATCCAGATGCTCTTGATGGACCTTCATTCTGGGAGATACAAGGAGCGACGGAGCAAGGAACCGGTTTAAGGCGAGGGTATCACAGTCATGAGAAGATGCTTTATCTCGAGGGCCACAGTCAAATGAATAAATTGAGTAAGGAGGATAAAGAATCTCTGAGGCAGATGAGAGATGCTGGGGTACCTCCGTCGCAACAGAAGCAGACAATAAACATGCAGAAGGGTGACAAAGGGCATCACACCCAAAGGCAGATGTATAACCTCGGGTCCAAGTCTAGGAAAGACGAGATGGGTGAGATGAATGCAGTGCATTATCGTTGCTAGCAGCTGAACGTGAGAATTATCATACAGAGGTTATGAAGGACGATGACGACGTGCTGACACATCTTTTTTTTGCCCATCCAACTTCCATCCAGATGTTGAAGGCTTGGCCGTACGTGATTCTGATCGACTCAACGTATAAGACCAATGCATATAAATGGCCGTGGGTGGAGGTCCTAGGTGCTACTCCAGTTGGGAAGAATTTCAACATCTGTTGTTCTCTCATGAAGGATGAGACAAAAGAGTCGTATCTGTGGCTGTTGCAGTGCATACAACAATTGCTCCATCCACGCGTGCCCACTGTCATCGTCATCGACCACGAAGGTGGACTACTTGCTACGGTTCCTGTGGTCTTCCCCCGCACCCCGCATTTGCTATGTGTTTGGCACATCAACACCAATGTGCAGAAGAAGTGTTTGGAAATATTTGGGAAGGACAGGATGGATTTGGTCAACGAGGCGTACGACCAATATTGGTGTCCTATGCTTTATTCTTGGTCAGAGCAAGGTATGTTGGCCGCGTTTGGCCGCTTTAGGACAAGAAGGGGCAATCAAGAACCACGTCTGTTGCAATACATACAGGGAGTGTGGTTGCAACATCGAGAAAAGTGGGCTGTTTGTCATACCAAAAATGTGTTTCATCTAGGAAATACGAGCACAAACAGGGTTGAGTCGTCACATTCCACTTTGAAGACTTTCCTCCACAACTCGCGGGGATCTATGGACACTGTATGGAAAGGAAACCACCGCTACATTACTAACCAACTAGGGGAGGTTAGGATGATGTTGGAAAACTCTAGACAGAAAACCCTTTTAGCATCCGGTGGTACACCATTCACATACTTGAGAAGGAAGGTCAGCATGCAGGCAATTATATTAATGAAGGAGGCTGAAGAAGAATTGGCTGCACGCTTGGAAAAAAATGAGAACTCCCGATGTGCATGTCATTTCTCTGTGACACACGGCTTGAGGTGTGGATGTCAAGTTATGGATGGCAGAGCGCGAGACATAGAGATATATCCCGGTGATATTCATATATATTGGCGGACACTGTCATACGAGCATCCACCCAATGCTCAGGAGTACGTTCCCCAGGAGGAGGAGGCTAGATCTCACCTTCAGGAGTTGGTTGACGAGGCTGTACGCAGAGGACCAGAGGCAACGAAAAAATCAGCAAAGAACGTGTTTCGTGGTCCCATCCGGCGGAGGACAACATTCACGAGCCAGAAGCGAACGAATTTAGAAAGGGACGCCCAGCCAAAAAATCAACTAGAAGAACTAAAGGGTGGTGGGAAAAGATACTGCGAGGCAAGAAGAAAAGCATGAAAAAGAAGTCGGGAAGCACAACGTCGGGGTCTACAAAGTCGACCAGTACCAAGTCCACGGGGACTCAGATAGACGAGTACCCGTCAAACGACCATGCAGCGGAGGAGTGTGATGATCCAGAAGAAAACAACAAATACAACTGTCCTGACACAGGTACAATTTAAATTTTTCATAAGTGTAGTTATTTATATTAATATTTTACATCGCATTTGTGCTGATTATCTATTTCCTTCACAGATATCCCTGGACCCAGCAGCCCCCATTCTGATTACTCACACATGGAACTGCTTCCTGTCTTCATTCGGCCGCTTGTCATTGCCATCCACGACCTAATGCCAGACGGTCATTGTGGGTTTCGTGCACTTAGTTTTGCACTATATGGTAATCAAGAAGGGTTCCCAGAGGTGAGGCGACGACTTGCTGAAGAAATGCGTGAGCACGATTGGCGATACGCACCCATCTACGCTGTTGATATCAATGACGCAATCAGACGCATTGACATCACTACTACAGCACCAACGACTCAACATCATTGGATGATGGGTGTGGATCTATTCGTATTTGCCACACTATTTAATTTGGCTGTTGTCATGTACAGTTCTTACCTCCACCCAACTCCATGTGCGTACTACTCTACCATTCTGCCAGTGGACAACATATATGGGGAAACCCACCCTAGAGGAGTCATTGTTCTGCATTTCGTCCAGGATCATTGGATCAACCTCTCTTTCCCGGCGGACAAGATACCGATGCCCCCTCCACATGGCATGTGGTTAGGCGGTCACCAAGAAAGCGTGGATGGATGGGAGACATATTTTGCGCCGTTTAGTCAAATGTGATTCGATCTTGGGGGTGCGACGAATATCTTTCCATCACGCAAAAAGAGGGGTTCAAAGAAATAAACTTGTACTCGTCTTCAATTTAAATAAATTGTAATGAACGTCTTCAATTTAAATAAATTGTAATGAAGTTTGTTTACGTCACATGGAAGCATGATATAATAAAAACATCCGAAGTACAACATAAACCACATAAGTCATAATCAGATACAACAAATAACATAAGTCATAGTCCCAAAACAACAAATAACATAAGTCATAGTCCCAAAACAACAAATAAGCAACTGAACACCACATAACATAAGTCATAGTAGAACAACAGAATAACATAAGTCAACTCGTCTAAAAACAACAAACACTCCTCATACATATGACATAATAATCATACAACTACTGTGGAGGTGGTAGAAAACCCGACTTCCTCCTAAACTCGTGCTACATGTTCCCAACTCCATGACATAAGTCGTAGTACTCGTTGGCACTAGCCATCCACTCCTCCCTACTACCCTGTGCAGCATCCATCACGGGAGATATCTCAATCCACATCTCGCGTGACAACTGTAATAAAAAACCGTACGATTTAAAAACATATTAGTTACAATCAAATTTTTTTTAACTTAATACAAATAATTTAAAATATGATTGTACTAACCGTATCAGCATCCGAGATGTCGTGAACAGGTCGGCTGTCACTCAGTATCTGTGGGTGCGAGTGCCTAATGTACCACGCCATGTAATCCTCAGCAAACTCCCATGGCCTACGTCGTATCGGAGTAGAAAAAAGGTCCAGATGCACACTATGCGCCCCCAAGTTGTTCCAATACGAATCATAGACAGACTGGTAGCTAAGAGAGTATCCAAGCGTGGAAGCAGGTCAACGCACAACAAGCGGACGCTCCGGTGGATACGGTACACCCTGCACGTAGCCTAACTGTCGGAGGCACCAAGTGGGATCATAATATTCTGCTATCTCTGCAAATCTGAGCAGGCCCTGATACAAGGTACGTCTCACCGTCAGATGAGGACGCCGACCATACGGAGTCCAACTAACTAACTGAGGGGTCAAACTATCAATCGCCTGCCGATAATAAGCCAGCATCTGTGCATCCCTCTTCTTACTCGACCGGGGTGCTGTACCGCGCCACCTGAATGCTCCTGCCTGCCCCCGCTCCAGCTCTCGTGGCTCCAACCGACTAGGCCTCAAAGTAGGAAAGTGGTCGTAAATCCAACACTGTAGTAAAGTCAGACAACCCGCCACTCCCTTAGCCTCCTCCCGGGAGGCAATACCAAGCTGCCTGTACAGATAAGCAAGTGCTCCTGCCCCCCACGCATACTCTCCTAGCATATCCGGCCTCTTCACAAACAAGTTGACAACAGCAGAAACGCGGTCCTTACTCTTATCTACGAACAGTGTGGACCCAAGTAGCAAAAGAAGGTAACACTGAGCCTATCTAGCTGGCGGACCAGACTGCTGCAAATGAGTCAAAGCTCCCACACCCAACAAACCAAATCCTCTGTACCACCTAGACAGACTAGTAACCTCGCCAACCTGCGCCCCGTACTCATCCTCGTCACGATCTAATCCCAGTAGTGCTCGGATGTCAGCCTCTAGTGCACACTTCTCAACTGCCTCGGATTCACTACCATCGCCTCTCCGCCAACCGCAAGCCCAAGAATGTGTGCCACGTCGTGAAGGAGGATCGTCATCTCTCCAAACGGCATGTGGAAGGTGTTAGTATCCGGCTGCCACCTCTCCACAAATGCCGAGATGAGAGCAGGGTCCAACTCGCTCTGGAAGGTGATATCAACGAGGTGAGCAAGGCCCGATGTCTCTACGGTAGTCCTAGCGTTATCATCTACTATCCGATAACCGCCGAGAACGTGGCAAAGGGTCGAACACCTGTCGTAGCAAGTGATCACCCCTCTATCAGCCTCTCCCGTGTACAGACGGTGGGCAACATGCCCAAGAAAGCTACGGAGCAAACTCGGGTCGCTCGGCCCTCCAGGACACGGTCCTCTAGGCTCCCAGGCCTCTCCTACGTCAGCAGTACCACTCTGGCCCTCACCAGGCTGTGGAGCTCTATAGAAACGCCCCACATGGTCTCTATAGATCCCAGTTGCAGCATGAACCCCAGTAACGACATGTGACGATCCGCTGGGGGCACCTCTGTCTCTGATCGGACTGACTCGTGGAATCCGATACTCAACAGCATCCGACTCATACTCCTCCGACTCGTCGTCAATCTCGTCTGAAGGCTCAAACGCTGAAGTATGATGATCAATACTGGGACCAGCTCCACTACCACCCATACTAGGCAACTGAAAATCAAACTGTGGGAAACCGTCTGCCCTAAATCTCATCGATGTCACATGTGGCTGTGGCTGTGGCTCATCTCTATCATTTGGGTCCTTATTTCTCACACTAGCGCTAATGTTACGCCAATGAATCTTTTCAATCTCTTTCCTGGTCCTCCAGAACTACGTGATCCTCCAGAATTACCAGATGACGCCATCTCTAAACATAGACAATAATTTTCTATTAATATCTTATTGTAAATTATTTGTTGAGAAATTACTTGTTGTTTCATAGAGTAATTATGATACATACAATTTGTTATCAACTTAATATTTCGTTTGATGTTATCTACTTAATTTAACTAGATAGTTATTTTACTTAATACGATAGGTAATTATTTAAATATTTATTTCAACTTACTCAATTACTTAACTAAAACATCATAGATAATTATTTAAAATTAACCATTACTTACAATTTATTTAATCCAATAATATATTAGATATTTTATCTATTAGCAGATTCAATAATTATCAATTAATCTGTTATAATAAATTATTAGATTAGCAATTTCTTCATGGTCATAATTTATCAATTACTAATTATGATACATACAACTTGGTTATCTAATTAATTTATCAATTACTAATTAATTTAACTAGATAATTATTCAAATAATTATTTCAACTTACCCAATTAATAAACTAACACATTATATAATTACCAATTATATACTAATTATTCAACTATCAATATTAAACTAATTAAGATACTAACAATTGTATTTAAAATAAATGTAATAAATATTAATTTAAATCGAACCCGAAACACAATCAGACCGGTCCGACCAGACCGGGCGGCGGGGTCCCACCAGACCGGGCGGACGGGGTCCGCTCCGACCTGGCGGACCGCGTCCGCTCCGGCCTGGCAGACGGCGGCGAGACTGAATTAAAAAAAAATTACCTCGACGGCGACGACTGGAACAGCGGCGGCCGCGGCATCTCCTGGGCGGCGACTACTTCTCCTGGGCGGTGGCGGCCGAGATCGTCGGTGGCAAGGGCGTCGACTGCTTGTCTCCTGGCGGCGGCGGCGAGCAGAGGAGGAGGAGGTCCTAGCGGCGTCGGCGAGCAGAGGAGTCCTGGCGGCGGCGGCGAGCGGGGGAGGAGGTGGCGCCGGCGGCGGCGTGCGGTGAGGAGGGGCGAGCGGCAGGAGGAGGTCGGCGGTGGCAGGGGTGGGAAGGAGCTGGGCAGCAGAAGGGGGGGTGGGATTTGGGTAGTTAGGTTTAGGGTTTTTTAAATAAGGCATGGGCAAAATCGTCATGTTTTTTATAAATACGGGCGGCAAATAGTAATGGGACGGGCGGCAAATAGCGATTCAGTTTGCTTTTTCTGATAACGAATTGAGTGTACTGTACAATGGAGATTTTAATTGATCCAGTTATGTCAAGAGCTTGCTTAGGTCGAGATGTTTGTTTCCAATTTGTTGGTTCTAATTACAAATTGATTGGACACTGGTTCTTAGTGGCGTTTTGTCAAGATTGAAGTTGATATTTATGGTATATCTTTGATTGGACTTCGAGCGGTATTAATACATTATATTGATATATTATGGTGTTTTGGTTGTTTTTCGTATTGATTTCATACACAAGTAAAAACACACCACAAATCCTATTAATCACACTTAAACCTCCAAAGTCAGACCACAACACAACACACAGTAAAGCAAATCACAAAAAAACATAACAGAAACCTTCTAATGCAGACCACAAACACGATAAAACAAACCACAAAAAGCGTACTAGAAACATCCCAATCCATACCACAAATCCCCTAAAACAAACCAAAACCCCCACAAAGCAACCACAGAATGTTCGAAAGCACACCAGAAACCTCATAATGCAAACCACAAACGCTGTAAAGCAAACCACAAAAAAGCAAACCAAAAACCTCCTAGTGCAGACCGCAAATCCATTAAAACAAACCAGAAACCCCACAAATCAAACCATAAAAATTTTGAAAGCACACCATAAACTTCTTAATGCAAACCAGAAACACAATAAAGCAAACCAGAAACCTCCTAATGCATACCACAAATCTCCTAAAACAAACCACAAACCTCATAAAGCAAACCACAACATTTGCGAAAGCACACCCGAAACCTCCTAATGCAAACCACAAACACAGTAAATCAAACCACAAAAAAGCAAACCGGAAACGTCCTAATGCAGACCACAAAAATATTAAAACAAACCAGAAACCCTTCAAAGCAAACCACAAATTTTTTGAAAGCGCACCAGAAACTTCTCAATGCAAACTAGAAACACGATAAAGCAAACCACAAAAGGCATACAAAAATATGAGAAACCAAACCATAAATCTCACAATGCAGACCATAACATCCGGTGGTCGTTGACCGTTGACCAAACTCCGATGACCGTTTGTGAGCAGATTCTGACACCGAGAGGCATATTCCGGCCCCGATGACTAGATTCCGACGCCGGTAAGCATATTCTGACCATGGTGAGCATATTCGGCAACGGTGGGCATATTCCGATGACAAAATAGCATATTTCGGCGACAAAAAAACATATTCCGGTGACATGCGACCAGATTCCAGTGACCGGTAGCCGAATTTCGACAACCAAAATTTTGGGCAGAAAATAAAAAAAAAATATTTTTAATTATTATTTAAACATATTTTTCATAATGACAATTATACCCCTGCTTTGATTTTAGACTAGGTCAACTCAGCTAATAAAAAGTCATCACAACCCTAGTTTCTTATGGTTGGAGACTAGTGTTATTACAATAACAAGTGTCATACTATCTAGTCCCCAACAGAAGGTACCAAGGACTAAAAACTTGAGGTATTAAAAACCTTGTTGTAGAAGGATTAATTACTCTTCTGAACATGAAAATTATCTTGTTAATAAGGATGTGCATGGAAGTTAGATGTTATTTTTAGTTTCTAGTGTTCTTTTTATCATTTTTAATTTCTATGTTCTTATTTGTACACATTTTTCAACAAGAATGGTTTCAAATCGAGCTTATCTTGAGCCGAGCTTGTACTCAGATTGACAAGCTGTATTAATGAGCATTTATCGAGCTCTATCGAGCCGAGCTCGAGTTGGATTATTTTTAATCGAGTCGAGCTCGAGCTGGATGACCAAAATTCGAGTTCGAGCTAAAAAATTTATAAACGAGTCGAGCTCAAGCTAAGCAAAAACTCGACTCGGCTCGTTTGCAGCTCTAGCAAAGCATGATCTGTGAATTCACTTTATTGCATTTCTAAATATTTGAACAACTGAAATGAAATGCTTTCTCCATTCATTTGGTAAAAGTAAACACGTTTAGCATACAAGACTGTAGAGAACGATTTATGGGTACATACAAGATGATTTCCCAGGTTGTTGATGCGTGACAGCATTTTGGGCCGAGCCCATTATTATTATTGTTTGATTATTATTATTATTATTTGTTGGGATATTCAGTTATTATTCGGGTTATTCGTATTAGTTTGGGTCTAGGATTATTATTACGTATCTTGTTTAGGAAGTATTCGTTTACTTGTTGCTTTGGGTTTGAGTTTCCTTGTCTTAAGAGGAAAGGGGTTTGTAGGATTAGTCCTATAAATATGTACCTTTGCTCTTCGTTTTATTAAGTCGATGAATAAAGTATTAGTAGTTACATTAGTAGAGAAAAGTAGCTCTTTATCGTGTTTTCTAGTTCTTTCGCTAAATCGCTCGAGATAACCGGTGCGTGAAGTCTCGTTCCGCATCAATTGGTATCAGAGCCTGGTTCCGAGGAACCGAGCTCGACGATGCTCGCATATGGGGCATGCTTCCCGCCGATCGATGAGAGGTCTTGCATCATCCAGAAGCAACTGGACGAACGCAGAAGGTTGTCGAGGGATGAAGCTTTACAACTTGTTGATGGAGAACCACCTATCGAGATTGACGAGACGTCGGCTAAACCTCCTAGTCCGGCCGAAGCAGAGATCTCGTTGTCTGCTCTCAAAGGCGTTTCCAAGCCGACGATCATCCGCTTTGACACCACCATCCGTCAAGAACCAGCTGCCGCCTTCGTCGATAGTGCATCATCGCACAATTTTGTGAGTTACGAAGTTGCTGAGAGGTTGTTCTTGCGAGC